GTTCAGTTTGGTCCACGTTTTATATATTGTTTGAAAATAAATATGTTAAATAGAAAAGTCTCTTCATGTTTTTGTTTTTAAACACGCACTTTTCAAAAGAACACCTTTTAGAGCTGTAATCGTAATACCGTGATACCGTGAAATCGTGATATTTTTGCCCAAGGTTATCATACCATCAGAATTTCATACCGTCCCATGCCTAGTCAGCAATGTTCCACTACTCTTGTTTGGAAATCACCGAGAGTCGGGTGAGTTCTTTGTCATCAGTGCTACTTCTCCACAATTAGTGTTGGGATATACTTGGCTCAAAAAGCACAACCCACAGTTAAACTGGGCTGAGGAGAGAGTTGAACGCTGGAATGATTTTTGTCTAAATCATTGTTTAAAGGCTGCAGTACCCAAACTAGAGATTAAGAGAGACTCTTTTGAAGATAATGATTTATCCAAAGCACCCAGTGAATACCATGATTTGGCTCCAGTGTTCAGTAAAGCTAAGGCTCTCTCTCTCCCACCCCATAGACCATACGACTGCTCTATTGAACTGTTACCTGGGGCTCCTTTGCCCTCCAGTCGTCTGTATAATCTGTCTGGACCAGAAAGGGAGGCTATGAAATCATATATTGAAGAGTCGTTAGCCTCTGGTATCATTCATCCGTCCACATCCCCCCAGACGCCGGATTTTTTTTTTGTATCCAAGAAAGACAAGAGTCTACGTCCTTGTATTGATTTTCGTGGGTTAAACCAAATAACTATCAAAAACAAATACCCTCTACCGCTCATTGATTCAGTGCATCAACAGCTCCATAATGCCACAGTGTTTACTAAACTGGATTTACACAATGCGTATCATTTGGTTAGGATCAAAGCAGGAGATGAGTGGAAAACCGTATTTAAGACACCCCTGGGGCATTTTGAGTATTTGGTAATGCCATTTGGGTTAACCAGTGCCCCTGCGGTTTTTCAGTCACTCGTCAACGACGTTCTTCGAGACTTCCTGAACGTTTTTGTCTTCGTATATTTGGATGATATTCTCATCTACTCTAAAAACCTGGATCAACACAAACATGTTCGCATTGTTCTTCAAGGATTATATGAAAACCAGCTCTTCGTGAAAGCTGAAAAATGCAAATTTCATGTATCTCCTGTATCATTTTTGGGTTTTATTTTTGGAAAAGGTTTTTTTCAGACCAACCCGGACAAGGTTAAAGCTGTGGCAGAGTGGCCGGTTCCTAAAGACCGTAAACAACTTCAAAGATTCTTGGGGTTCGCCAATTTTTATCAGCGATTCATTAAGGACTACAGTCGAGTGGCTGCACCTTTAACTCAACTCACATCTACTTTGAAGACTTTCAAGTGGACTGCAGAAGCTGATACGGCATTTGGTGAGTTAAAGGCTCGTTTTGTTTCCACCCACATCCTAAGACACCCTAACCCCAATGAACAGTTCATTGTGGAAGTGGATGCCTCCGATTCTGGCGTGGGAGCAGTTCTTTCACAGAGATCCTCTGCTGACAACAAGGTCCACTCCTGTGCCTTTTTCTCACGTCGACTCACTCCCTCAGAAAGGAACTACGATGTGGGGGACCGGGAGCTGCTGGCCATTAAATTGGCACTGGAGGAGTGGCGTCATTGGCTTGAAGGTACTGACCTGCCGTTCATAATTTGGACGGATCACAAAAATCTGTCATATCTTCAAACTACCAAGAGATTAAATCCCCGCCAGGCCCGTTGGTCCCTGTTTTTTGTCCGTTTTAACTTTGTTACTACCTACAGACCGGGAACCAAGAATGTCATGCCTGACGCCCTCTCCCGTCAGTTTTCTGACACTGAGAGTCCTAAGGATGAGGACAACATCCTTCCTCCTACATGCTTTGTGGGATCTCTTACATGGGCCATAGAAAGAAATCCAGGAGGCTCTTAAAACTGAACCTGACCCGGGGGGAGGACCTCCTGTTAAGACTTTTGTTCCTACTTCTGTTAAAGCTAAAGTGTTGGACTGTTTACATTCTAGTCAGTTTTCATGCCACCCTGGGGTTTTTCGCATGACTGCGCTTGCCTCGAGATATTTTTGGTGGTCTTCTATGTCAGCTGATATAAAGGAGTTTGTGGTAGCCTGCCCTACCTGCGCCAGAAATAAGAGTGGCAATCGACCTCCTGCGGGACTGTTGCAACCTTTATCCACCCCTGGTCGCCCGTGGTCGCACATAGCTATGGATTTTGTTACCGGTCTACCTCTCTCCCAAGGTAACACTGTCATATTGACTATTGTTGACCGTTTTTCTAAAGCTGCACATTTTGTATCTCTGCCCAAACTCCCTACAGCAATGGAGATGGCTCGCCTACTGGTCCAACATGTTGTTAGAATCCATGGCATACCAACGGACATTATTTCTGATTGAGGACCACAGTTCATTTCTCAAGTCTGGAAGGCATTCTGCAAAGCCCTGGGAACGACTGTTAGTCTATCATCTGGTTACCATCCCCAATCCAACGGGCAAACCGAGAAAAATAACCAGGAGCTGGCGGCCGCTCTGCGCTGTGTTGTGAGTAGTAACCCTTCCAACTGGAGCCAGCATCTAACCTGGACTGAATACGCTCACAACACGCATGCCTCGTCTGCCATTGGCATGTCACCCTTTGAAGCTTCACTGGGGTATAACCCTCTATTTCCCAGTATCGAAACAGAATGTGCAGTTCCGTCTGTCCAGCATCATGTCCGCAGGTGTCGCCGTTTCTAGAGGCAAACTAAGGAGGCGCTCTTACGGACGGCGGAGCAGAATAAAAGAATGGCTGACAAGCATCGTTCTACCGCACCTGCCTATAGAGTTGGTCAACAAGTGTGGTTGTCAACTAAGGATATTCAACTGAAGGATACTACTCGAAAACTGACTCCCCGGTTAATTGAACCATTCCCGGTGGAACGCATCATAAATCCCTCTGCGGTACGTCTCTCACTCCCTTCATCATCATCGAAAATATATCCTACTTTTCATGTGTCCCAGATCAAGCCAGTTTCCAACAGTACCCTGAGCTCTCCTTCCAACCTCCCTCCGCCCCCCCAGATCATCGACAATCAGCCAGCCTACACGGTCAACAAGATCTTGGATGTCAGAGACGTGGGCGTGGCCTACAGTACCTCGTCGATTGGGAGGGTTATGGTCCAGAGCAACGGTCTTGGATCTCGAGAGCCCTCATCCTCGATCCCTCCCTCATCTCCACCTTCTACAGGGACAATCCTGAGAAGCATTTGAGATTGAGGCAATCATCGGGGTAGGGTACTGTGATGATTGGAGGTTTTTGCTGTTCACTTTCTGCTTGGTTCCTGCTCCTAATTGCACCACCTGCGTGCAATCTGCCTGATGACAGAGAGGATGACAGATGATCACCATTTATGAGCTACCGCTCTAACATGATGTGAACATGATGAGGCCAGTTTGCCATAGGAGACGTTATCAAGAACCAATGCCCCAAACAACGTAACCTCCAGGACCACAGTGGTGCTCAAACATCTTCACAACATTAAGGTGGTGATTCTGCATTTATTATCAAGTAATAATAGATTTGTTTGTATTACTGATAGAGTTTTATTGGATTTATTAAACTTCTTAAGGTGTTTCAAATAAAGTCTTGAGGTACGTGACAAATTTATTATTCATCATGGCGTGTCCACAGANATATATTTTAAAGACGTATGCCTTCAACTTTAAACATTTTGGGGTCTAATTTAGCATACAAAATACATATTTCTCTCTTACGTCTGTCACACAGACACTGAGTCCGGAACACAGCTTTTTTTTTTAACTCTTACGTCTGTACCCTTCCACTTGGTCTCAGACACTGAGATATCGCAGCTTTTATGTCGACAAAAAGAGCTGTTTTTTTTCCAATTTTGAATTCTGTCGGTTCTTTACCACTTAATTTAAGTTTTTTTTATATATGTTTTTGAACAGCTCCCAAAACATGCATGTTTTTTAGTACATCTCCCTGGAGCTGGCAAAGATTCTCCCCAGGTTCATGAGCCTGGCCACACGGCCCCCCAGCTGAGAGGGGAAAAAAAGGAATCACTTTTTAGATTAAAAGTATTTATTTACCTCTTGGGCCCACGACTCCTTTCAGTTCCCTCCCAGCAGAGTGGCAGCTCGCCAGATGCCCAAAGCCACGTTGGTGCGCCAATATGTAGCGGCTGAAAAGTCCACTTATCAAGATAAAAAAGAGAAGAGACAATCCTTGGCCAGCCAGAGGGAGTTTTAATTGAGTTCAGTCAGTAACAGCTTCAACCGACAGATCAGACCTTGCAAACCGAACTGACGCAGTTAGAAAACCATAACCTTTTATACCACGGTATCTTTGCCAGAAAAAGGGTGGGCTCTTCCCCAGAATGGGTGGAAATATAACACCACCCAATAGAACCCCTGATGATGTCAACTTTTCCAGACTATTCTAAAAGTTGTTTTTGTGACCCTATTCTGACCTTTTGTTCTCAAAGTTACTGCTAAAGCCTCAACACCACTATTTCAATAGCAATGGATGT